CACCTGAGCCGCTCATGGTGCCGCCGTCAGGCGCAGCTCACAGCCCTCACAAAGGGCTCGGTAGCCGGCCGCGTCCGAACCGGCGCGCTGCCTTGTGGGAAAGGGAGCATATTAGCATAGGGGGCGGGGCTTTCAGGCTGCGGCGAGGTGTGCCCGAGGGGAGGCGGGTGCTCATTAGCATAGGGAGCGAGACCCTCAGGCCGCGGCTAGGTGAGCTCGAGGGGTGGCAGGTGCTCATTATTGTAGGGCGCGGGACCCGCAGGCTGCGGCGAGGTGCTGCGCGGCGGCGGGGAGCTCGTTAGCATACGGGGCGGGGCTCGCAGGCATCGGAGGGGTGCGCCCGAGGGGGGCGGGCGTCATTAGCACAGGGGGCGGAGGCCCGCAGTTTGCGGAGACTTGCTCCTGAAGGAGGCGGGCACTCATTAGCATAGGGGGCGGGGTTTGGCGGCGCGCGGACACCTTAGGGGTCAGACCCTCACACCAGGACACAAGGGTGGGGCTTCGCAGGGAGCTGGCAAATGCGCCAGCCTCGGAGTGGAATCCTGATTGGCTTTTCTTCCTGGATAGGAAGAAGATAACTAGGGATGTCCAGCGGGTTGCGCAGATCAAGATAGAGCCAAGCGGGGCCAGCGAATCCCTGCCTTGCCATGGGATGGGTTTTCAAGCCAGGTCTGGACAGCTTAGAAGAAAAAACCGCCGGTCACTCTGCATGTTTTATTTATTGGTACCCGAGGAAATGGGGGCTGCCTTTCCCTTCCAGAATCCCCACCTCCAACCCCCTAGCCTTTTGGACATTGGAGAAGACTCTAAAGTAGATACCTAAGATTGGAAAAAGTTCGAATTGGAAAGCACTGAGACCAGAGGTCAACCCTCCAGGGCTGGCCAGACACGTAACAAATGTTCATTGACCGTCAGGTCCCTTCCTTTCCCTTCCAGGACTGAGGGTCCTGCCCCTCCGGTACCCATGATTGGAGGGTCCAGTACTGGCCCCGCAGGCTGGCCTGAGCCTTAAGGAAGTCCTCGCTGAACTCCATCTCAGCCTGGCTGCTCTCTGACTCCCAGTAGAGCACCTGCTGCCCATGGAATGTTGTGGTCCTCAAGCTGTGGATGTCCCGGATCTGAGAGAAAAGGGGCAGCCCAGAAGGACCGGCCATAAGTGATAATTAGCACTCACATTAATTAGCCCTTAATGTGCAGGGGCTCACAGATTCCGGATCACATTTAATGCTTACAAAGCCCTCCTAGGAGTACGCTGTTACTCTACCCCGAAAACTGAGCTCCAGGGAAGTTACATCACTTCCCCGAGGACACAGAGTCAGGGTGCCAGAGCAGGGCCAGGCTGCCTCGTCTGGGAAAGCTGATACCCTGCAGAACACAGTTCTCCCAGGACACAGGAAACCTTGGGGAGGGTGCAGGGTGCTCCTCTGTCCAAGTCATATCAGACTGTAAAATTATGCTTCAGTCCTGGGTTAGCTGTCAGTCTACATCAGAAAGGTCTTTACCATTCTTTATCATTTTGCTTTTTTTTTTTCTTCTTTTTTGAGACAAAGTCTCACTCTGTTGCCCAGGCTGGAGTGCAGTGGTGCGATCTGGGTTCACTGCAACCTCCACCTCCTGGGTTCAAGTGATTCTTGTGCCTAAGCCTCCCCAGTAGCTAGGATTACAAGCACACGCCACCACGCCTGGCTACTTTTTGTATTTTTAGTAGAGACAGGGTTTCATCATGTTGGCCAGGCTGGTCTCGAACTCCTGACCTCAAGTGATCTGCCCTCCTCGGCCTCCCAAAGTGCTGGGATTACAGGTGTGAGCCACTATTTCACTCTTGTAGGTAGCTCAAAAAACATTTCTTGGTGAATATGTGGAGGAAGCACTCTTCTCCCATTCTTTCACTAATGATTTGGAGGGTTTGAGTCTGAAATAAACTGAAGGGGGTCCCCTACTCCTGCCCCCGCTAGGGAAAGCTGTCCAGAATCACAGCACAAGTCCCCATGCTGGGCCTCACCGAGATGTAGCTGGCATTGGCTCCCTTGGTCCCATTGTCCACGTCGGTGACCAGGGCATGGACGGCAATCCGGGCGTGCGGAGCCACATTAATGAAGAGCCGGCAGCCCCCTGCCTTACTCGTGGCTGGACTCAGCGAGGGACTCACGATTTCACCCCAGGGCCCAAAGAGCTGCATGTCACATTCTGCAGGGGGAGCAAGTGGGACATAGAAACCCAGACAGACCACTGATGCCACAGGCCAGAGCAACTCACAGCCGGGAAGCAGTGCAGGGCAGCATGGCACTGTGGTCAAAATTGGGGTTCCCAGGCAAACCCTGCTGAACCCCACCTCTACCACTTCTTGGCCCAGTGACTTTGGGCAAAGGCTAAATGTTCTGGGCTCTGGTTCCCTCCTCTGCAACTGAAGGAAACAATGGCATGCACTGAGCAGAGTGGTCTTTCGGACTCAATGATGTCACATGTGCAAGAGTGTTTCACACTGAACCTGGCACCAAGGATAGGCTCCACCCATGGCAGCCACTGCTGTTCCTCGGAGCTCACTGGAGCTGCCACCTGCCTGTACCTCCTGCACCTCTTTCAAGGCAAGTGCCTGTGTGGGTGGGGCTGGGCCGGGAAGTAAGAAGCAATGTGAATGGTGACAGTGGGCTCATGGCCTTTTGGCAGGACCCAGCAGCACCTGTGCGCTGAGGCACATACACAGCTCTCTGCTCAGGCAGGTGTTAGGGCAAGGAGGAGGCGCACTAGGTCTCTGCAGAGGCTAAGCCCACTGCCGCTAAGCCCCTGACACCTGGGGGAGCCGAGGAACCTCTGGAACCGGCTAGGGAAGCCGACTTTGGCCAGCTCGGACTGCTGGGAGAGGGCAAGTGCCCCAGGACAACCGAGAGGGCTATCAGAGGGCATCTAGGGGGCCATGGGCAAGGCAGGGGTCCCTGAGGTGGCATCCTCTGTCTGAGGTGTGCTTGTGGGTGCACACGCATGTACAAGCATGTGTGCTCACACCAGTGCACTAGAACAGGGCTGAGGGACAGTGGCTCTCACAAAAACCCTAAAGGGCCTTGAAAGGCTGGAGGGTTGGGGGCGGGGTGGGTGGGGGTGGGGCAGAGGCCTGAGGGACTGACTGAGGATGTGGACCACATCCCACATCCATCCATCTTGCTGCACAGTCCCAAAGAGGAGGGATGTAGCACTCATCCTGCGACCTCTCCCTGGCATGTACAGGCTGACACTGGCCAAGCCCAGCTCCTTCCATCTCAGTCAGCTCCCTCTGTATCTTCCCACTACCCCCCTGGGACTGGCCCCATCCCCAGCAGCACCCACCCAGCCTCCCTGCCAGGACCGGAGCACCCAGGGGAGGTGGAGAAGGCCTGGCCATACCTCTGTAGAAGGTTTCAGGAGCAAGCTGGCTCCCATACCGCAGCAGCACCCCGGCTCCCGGCTGCCTGCAGCGCTGCCTCACCACCAGCGTGTTGGTCTTAGAGCTGAAAGTCATGCCCAATAGCTTCCTGCACATCTTCCTCCAGGTGAGCCGGCCCCAAAGCAACAACATGTCCCCTAGGAAGCGGCAGGGCAGTGAGGGTCCAGCACTACCATGCCTGGTCAGCAGAGGAGTGGCTCCGGGGTAGACTGAGCCGAGTTCAAGTCCCGCCTCTCCCACCGCTGGCTGTGTGACTCTAAGTAACTGAGCACGTCACTTAATGTCTCTTAGCCTCAGTTTCCTCATCTGTAAAATGCAGATCATCACTCCCCAGTCATGAGATGGAATGCAAACTAAAGTTGGGAATGTACATGGGGCTCTTGCCAGGAACGGGGCATGCAGCGTTGTGCTGGCTCCTGGCAGGGGCCATAACTGGCAGCATCGCTTGCAGGGCCCTAGACATACCCGCACTGCAGTTGAGAGAACTCTCAAGGATGCGGAGGGTCACCACCTCCCCGAGGGGCCGCCCAATGGCCACTGCACAGTCTGCCTGCCCTGGTCCTCGCATGTCAATGGTTCCTGTTGGCTCAAGGTGCTGCCTGCCACAGGCACCTGAAAAGGGAGCAGGAGACAGGTGAGCAGTACTTCCGGGATTTCCAGCAGGGCAGGCTCCGGGGTTTCCAAGCTGAGGAAGGAGACCAGGAGGTAGGGGTGGATCCTGTCCCCCAAGGCCCAGCTGGAAGCCTTCTCAGGACAGGGACGGGGGTTAGGTAGGTCAAAGCATCACCCTCAGGGCACAGGGCTGCTTCCAGATGCTCCAGCAAGCAGGGGCACATGCAGAGCAGCCCAGAGGCTAGGGGGCTCACAAGCTGGGTTCCTAGCTTCAAGTTACTTCCCCTTAATAGTAGTAAAAGGGAGGTTTTGCTTTGCCAGGGAGGAAGAGGTCCAGCCCTGATCCTGGCCTCCCAGGCACACATCCCAGGGACCAAGCTCTTGTGCCAGTCCTTCCCAGAGGGAGACGCCTTTGCCCACCCCTCCTACAGCAGCTGCCCGACAGGAAGGAGGACAGGACGTAACTGGACTGCGCCGAGCTTTCCTGGGGCCCGGGCAGGAGCCGCCGAGGCTGGGGAGCCGGGGAGAAGAGCAGGGCCGGGGCCTGGGACCACTCCAGGGAGGCACCAGCAGGGGTGGCTGTGGTCTGTCCTGGAGCAGTGGCTTCTTCGTGAGGTATCAGGTTGGGCGTCCCCTGTCCCACACAGGGCCCAGCCCAGCAGCCACGCACAGTCACTGGCTTGGGCAAGTGCTGGCAGAAATCAGCCGGCACAGGTGCCTGGGCCTGGGGTCCGAGGCAGGTGTCATGCCGGCGCTGGATGCCATCCCCACAGGAAACAGAGCACTGCCAAGAGAGGGGAGGAGGAGTCACAGCTGACCCTGGCCAGAAAGTGACAAGGAAGTGGTAACTACAGGCCAGGAGTGATCCAATATAATCTTTGTACAAGCTGGGAGGCAGGTAAGTGTCTCCATTCCACAGATGAGAAAATTGAGGTTCAGAGAAGGCACCCAGCACAGGTCATGTAGGTGGGAGGAGCCAGAATTCAAGCCTGGGTCCCTGTCATCCTCATGGCCTCTCTCTCTCTCCAAGCCTTAGAGCAAGCAGGCCTGTGGGGCTGCGGCTCGTCTCTGTCTGCTGTGCCCCTGCGCCCTCCACACCATGAGCGAGCCCCTCCAGGGGCAGCCTGAGCCCCATTTACCATTGTCTTTCCTGCCCTGCCAGGTGCGTGGCACAGCTGGCATTCCCTTATCTGTATAGAGCTGGGTGGCCTGCTGTTCATCTTCCAGTGTCCCCAAACCTAAGAGCCTCTTAAGTCCTAGCTGCCCACAGGTCTCTAGGCCTTCTGTGTATCTGCCTCTAGGTGCCCCCTCACCAACAGACCCAGCTCTCTCCTTCCTTTCTGGGGACACAATGAACCAATGCCCCCTAGACTCCCTCACACATAAGCAGCCATAGCTGATGCCCGCCCCAGCCCCACAGGGATCCCAAGCGCCCGCTGTGCTCACCTCCGTCCAGGTGCCGACATACCAGCGGTAGGTGCAGTCAGCAATGAGACAGGGGACGCTGGCCTGGGGCCGCACCAGTGCCGCACAGGCCGCCTCGTCCACCTGCACGTCCTGGCCTTGGTCGAGCTGCACACAGGCCACCGAGCGCCTAGCAGTGCCAAGGCCACAGCTGGCCGAACATGGGCCAAGGGACATGACTTTCCACCTGCAGGAAGAGAAGACCCCAAAGAGAGGCTGGGTCTCCCCAGAAACGGTACTGCCCCACACGGGCCCCTCTCCACCCGCGTGTCCTCGAACAGTTGCCTAGACAGCTTCTGTGGCCAGGCGAGATGGGAAGTGTAGCCACAGAGCCCCTCCTGTCTGGGGCCAGGGCTCACAGCCACAGGAGAGCTACCAAAAGGCCCTGGAGGAAAGAGGCTGCTTTTTCCCTAACTGCACATCCCCCTCTCATCGCCTTTCTCACAGAACACCTGTCAGCACCCCAGGGGCTGCCTATGGAACCAAGTAACAGCAACAGGAAGCGAGCCCCTGGGTAACAGGAGACAGATCTCACCACCCCACGTTCTACAAGGGGGAAGGCCGAGGACCTTAACCCTGCCCATGTTGATCTGTAATCATTCAATAACTAATTATGGCCCGCGTTCTTCAGAGCTCAGACACGAACCCAGGCGCCTGCAAGGGAGCTGGGATCTTCATCACAACACTGTTCTCCCCCATGACGCTGCAGCACTGTCTCTTGGACCCGTGCTTTCTGTGGCCTGGCGCTGTTCTACATGACACTGGGAGGTGGCAGTGAACCAAACCAGACCCCACCGCCTCTCGGAGCATGGATTGTTCTCCATTTGGGCATCACTGGCATGAGCGACTGGATGCTGCTTTGCTGTGGGGGCTGTCGTGTGTATTGCAGAAATTTTATTTTTTAGTTTATTTTAATGGTTTTCTTTGAGACATGGTCTCATTCTGTCATCCAGGCTGGAGGGCAGTGGTGCAATCACGGCTCACTGCAGCCTCAGCCTCCAGGGTTCAAGCCATCCCCTCACCTCAGCCTCCCAAGTAGCTGAGACTACAAGCGTGTGCCATCATGCCCAGCTAATTTTTGTAATTTTTATTTGTTTGTTTTTGTTTTTGAGATGGAATCTCACTCTGTCGCCCAGGCTGGAGTGCAGTGGCACAATCTCAGCTCACTGCAA